CTTGGTAAACTTCTTAGTTTATTCCTTATTCGCCTAAGGAAAATTTACTTTTGAAATTTTTATGTTTATGGGAAAGTCTTAAGCCCTTTTTTATCATACAGCGTCCGGGGGAATGGGGAGAGAATCAGGTTAGACCCCAGGAAGGGTATGATAGGTACAATCCCTCGGGTCAAGAGCCCCTCACTAGCATCAAGGAACCTCCCTCAAGGATGCTACACGAAGCCATGATGGTAGTGTCAGTCAGGTGACTGACAATGTTCATAACGTCCCACAATAAACACTGAAGTTATATTGACACGCGGGAAGAGAGAGAGAGAGAGAGAGAGAGAGAGAGAGAGAGAGAGAGAGAGAGAGAGAGAGAGAGAGAGAGAGAGAGAGAGAGAGAGAGAGAGAGAGAGAGAGAGAGAGAGAAAGAGAGAGAGAGAGAGAGAGAGAGAGAGAGAGAGAGAGAGAGAGAGAAGAGAGAGAGAGAGAGAGAGAGAGAGAGAGAGAGAGAGAGAGAGAGAGAGAGAGAGAGAGAGATAGAGAACTACCACACATCTCTAAGATACGTGAGGCGTACTAAATCACTCGAGAAAGTCTTGCTACCAGCACAGACTTCCCTGTTTAATACAAATGCAGGAGTAACTTCTCTAATTGTCCGAAGGTGTCGGATCCACCAAAAAAACACATGTAGACTACCTGGGCCAGTGAGCTGAATTCTCTTATTACCCGCCCCATGAACCTGCTGTCTCGAAGAGAGAGTTTTACCTAGCTAGGGAGGACACCATTAAACACTGACGGACATGGAAGGTGCCTGGGACCCCCTCGTGGGGGGAGCTAGACCCCTCGTGGGAAGAGCTAGACCCCTCGTGGGAAGACCTAGACCCCTCGTGGGAAGAGCTAGACCCCTCGTGGGAAGAGCTAGACCCCTTACATCCCTCGAACAACTTGCAGGATCCGCGTAGTTGCAACAGAACATCGGTAATTCAATACGATTCCAATACCAATACTCACACTGAAAAAAAAACCCAATATTTTCGATACTAAAAAAACAGAAAACTTTTCGTTATATAAAAAATGCATAGTTATCAGTTTTGACGGTTGTTACACTAGAGGTTTCTTTTATTTCAATGTTAACAAAGAAGCCACAGATTAAATAGAGTTACGATAGATATCGAGTATCCAATTACCGACTGTCAGAATGTATGACCCGACCGGCCGGGCTGAGGTCCATAAGCTGGATTACGTGAGACCAGCAGCAACAACCTGATTGACAGTAAATATTGCAGCTCACTTCAGCCAATATAAGGGACATTAAGAGTACCTTTACAAGTAGTACCTGTAAATATAAGGAAAAATGAGACGGGGGCGTTGACCCCCGGAACGACCTTCAGGTAGACTCCAGGTAGACTCCAGGTAGACTCCAGGTAGATAGATGGCTCTGTCTGTAGCTTTTTGCTTAAATATGTGAAGCTGAATAAATCAGGGAACGGGTGGGACTCGAACCCAGGGCAAGTGAGTCCTAACACCCACCTGCCAAGTGTTCAGGTTCCATCCTTTCACTGATTTGTTTACAGTGGTGTTATTACGATTTTGTGAGTCATGAGAAGCTGCAAGTGATCCTTGTCTTGTGAGAGAAACCTCGCTAATAAATATTCTTCGGGTTTATGAATGATTGCCATTTTCAGGATATTTCTAATTTACCACTAAAATTAACATGTTAGGTTAATGATCACTGATACAACTAATTTGATATTTTATTGTGGCAACGTTTCGCTCTCCAGGAGTTTGGACAAGGGTTGACAAAGCTCCTGGAAAGCGAAACGTTGCCACAATAAAATATCACAGCTGCATTTGTGTCCATTTACCAAGAATTACAACCATGTAGGATTAACCAAGCATTAGAATCTAGTAGGATTTGCCAAGCATTAGAACCTACTAGGATTAACCGAGCACTACAACCATGTAAATTTTACCATACTTCTAGCATAAAAAGTATTAACATTCTTGTTAATTCCTTGTTATTACCAATTTCTATCTTTTTAATTTTTTATTTCCATTACCAACCTTCAGGCAGTATAATGTAGTATTGTATTTATTCACAATACAGTCACATTACAGTTATAATACAAACAGAATACAATCACAGTACAACTACAGTACAATGACAATATAGTCACAATGTAGTCACAATATAATCACAATACAATCACTCTACAGTCATAATACAATCACAATACAACCACTACAACGACAATAAAACCACAATACAATAACAATGCAATTGCAATTCAGTCAGCACCTTCCTAGGGTCATTAGTCGAAGTCGCAGCCATATCTAGAATTTGTTCCAAACCTGCAAGTTGCAAGAAATCTTATGGAAAGAGGAAATTCTCGTGGTGGAGGGTACTTGGCCCTTGGCAGAGGGTACTTTTCCCTTGGCAATGGGTATTTGGTCCCTGGCAGAGGGTAATTTTTCCCTGGTAGAAAGTACTTGGCCCCTGACAGAGGGTACTTGGCCCCTGACAGAGGGTACTTGGCCCATGGCAGTGGTACTCAAATATTTATTGCATGATATAAGGGCCTGGCACATGTAAACACACGTCGTTTTCATGTTCTTGCTCAATTATTTAGAACCAATCTCTCTCTCTCTCTCTCTCTCTCTCTCTCTCTCTCTCTCTCTCTCTCTCTTCTCTCTCTCTCTCTCTCTCTCTCTCTCTCTCTCTCTCTTTCTCATTCTCTCTCTCTCAGGTAAAGTTTAACACAAAGATCCTGAACAAAGTGCGTTCAAATTTTCACGAACGTCAGTAGTTTAAAGTAAATCAAGCATAGATAAGAGGCTAAGGTTGAGCAGGGAACTGCTTGTCTCAGTTGCTGCAGGCAACTGCTGCTTGTCTCAGTTGCTGCAGGCAACTGCTGCTTGTCTCAGTTGCTGCAGGCAACTGCTGCTTGTCTCAGTTGCTGCAGGCAACTGCTGCTTGTCTCAGTTGCTGCAGGCAACTGCTGCTTGTCTCAGTTGCTGCAGGCAACTGCTGCTTGTCTCAGTTGCTGCAGGCAACTGCTGCTTGTCTCAGTTGCTGCAGGCAACTGCTGCTTGTCTCAGTTGCTGCAGGCAACTGCTGCTTGTCTCAGTTGCTGCAGGCAACTGCTGCTTGTCTCAGTTGCTGCAGGCAACTGCTGCTTGTCTTAGTTTTCTCTTCTTTTTTCCACTGTTTTCCCTCTCAGGAAGCTTCAGGAGGAAACATCCAATAACAGTTTTAACAGAGGTGTGTGGACGTCAGTACACAGCCATAGTACACAGTACTCCTTCAGAGTACAGCCACTCTGTTTCTAAGCTTCAGACCTGTAACAGCTACACACATCCTTCAGAATACAGCTACTGTACTACCTCCAGACCTCTACATTTTGTGTGCAGTAGTTATTCATCATTATAAGCCGCCTCGCCAACTGTGAACGATTTTCATCTCCTGTAATTAGTTCAGCCAAAGTGGACCTGTTTCTGAATTACCATTTGTCACTGTATCCTTCAGAATACAGACCTTCACCAGAATACAGGTAACTCCCTTGAAGGGAAAGAGGCAAGAGTCCTTCACCAGCATCAAGGTATTTCCTTGAAGGTAAAATTAGTAACAAAAATATAAAGAAGACTGGTCGAGGAGTGTAGAGAGAACGCTGAGCGTTGTAGAGATGGTCTGCAGCATCCACCAGTCACAGCCCATCAGATAGAACTACAGATAATCACATCAATAAAATTCGCTCTAAATCGAATTTCCAGCCTCAATTTCCATGCATGTAGTGATATGTGAGTGTTGAGTGGAAGGTAGGTGGGCAGGAGCGCAGGAGGGCAGGTGGGCAGGTGGGCAGGTGGCACTGTGGCACTGCACACTACTCTCCCCTCCTCACGGCTGTCCTGATTTGATTATATGATAAATGCAGATTTTACTCCGAGGAGCGAGTGTTGGTCAGCCACACACTCATCCTGCCAGTGAATATACCGCTATACCCGCCCTTTTTTTTACACTCATTTGGGAAAGAAGTTGAAATATATGATGAACGCTTGAACTTGTGACGTCATTCAGGAGCTATGACTCGACCCCTGCAACCACAAATGTGTGAGTACAGTATTTAAATATTTAATAGCTTCCTCTCAACAACTTCATTATAACTCAAGGCTCTCTAGACCGTAAACATTTGCGTTATTTTTATCCTCTTTAATGTGGGTTAATCACTGATACATATAAACACACGTGGATAAGTATTTGCAAAATATAAACATTAGAATCCACTTCTGATAGAATTTACGAAAAATAAAATAGCATCTAGGAAAAAAATCTTTCTTAGATATTAATCGTATGAACTTTTACTGCAAAGTATAATAACAATACATTTTATTTCTGAACCCAACTCTGTTTTTTTTTTTACAATGTAAATTCTCAGAGCGGTCCTTCTTAAATTACCCCATCTAGTGAATACTTAATTGGATTAAATACTTTGCATTAATGGTCATTATAAAATAAAACGCGGATGGATGTCCATCTGCCGGCATCCGTCAGCCTCTGTTAGCATCTGTCAGCTTCTGTTGGTATCTGTCAGGCATAAATTATATAATTTCTTTTACCAAAAACAAATTTGTGTTCCACTCTCGCGAATCTACTGTTGGAAAAACTAGAGGTTGTGAGGGTGGGGACTGTGAAGGTGGGGACTGTGAAGGTGGGGACTGTGAAGGTGGGGACTGTGAGGCTGAGGACTGCGAAGCTGAGTACTGTGAGGCTGGGGACTGAAGCTGGGGACTGTGAAGCTGGGTATTGTGAAGCTGGTGGAGAGCTGTGGCTCGGCAGTACTTACCTCCTGATAGACTAATAGTACTCGCCTCTTGATAGACTGGCAGTACTCACCTCCTGATATACCGGTAATACTCACCTGCTGATAGACTGGTAGTACTCACCTCTTAATAGACTGGAAGTACTCACCTCTTGATAGGCTTGTAGTACTCACCTCTGATAGACTAGCAGTACTCACCTCTTGATAGACTGGTAGTATTCATCAATGAACTCCTTGGCTAGTGTGAGAACCTCCTCCTTGGAGCGAGGTTCAGTGCCACTCCTCCTGGGCAACATAACAGAACCATTGCAGTGTAGACGAGTGCACTGACCCTCCTGAAACACAACACAATTAACTAAGGTTGATGTATAATTTAAAACACATCGTTACTAGAAAATAAATGCAGTGAGAAAGCCATTTCATGCTCTTCACGTATTTGCAGTGTTAAAAACCCAAGGAGCGAAATGTTTTAAATAAAAGGGGTTCTAAAAATGCATTTGGGTTCATTTCAATCAGTAAAATATAATTCTGAACCTATATAAAAAGCTCACAGTTCAAAACTTTGGGGCACAAACTATTGAGCACCGACCAGTAATGAATTTGCAGAATTGTTTAATTTGACTGTAGAAATTAATTACTAGAAAGAAATGTATTCTGTAAGAATATATTTGAAGATGATACATAGAGCCGTTGATAAAGAAATAAGTTGAGCCAGTGCCAAATAAATAATAAAATAAATCCCTACAAGAAGACTTTTATAGAACGAACAAACTGAGTGAGATCGTCAATACATTTATTGCTCATGAATGATATACATGAATGGTATACATGAACGGTATACATGAATGGTATGCATGGATGGTATACATGAATGGTATATAACACCGTAGTCGTGAAGATCTTCACAACTATTGTGTTCTTCACACCAACTCCAAGGCTGAGGGACTGATTACCTCATCTGTTGTACATAGTTCCTCTGTCTTCCTGTCATGTCCTCGAATTTGTATTGATAAAGCCACTGGATGGTCAGACGTCTACAATAAAGACAGCCATGTGTTGCACATGTGTCTAATTTTCGATATATTTATTGTTAATAAACGACATGTAATGGGAACGAAAGTTGCATCAACTGAATATAGATTGTATGGAGCTATCAAACATTAAGATGGAAGTATATAAGACACTGTGTAACACAAGTTTTAACACACTCTAGGAAGAGTGAAAGTCAACGGACTTCCAGAGTGCCTTTGAAGGTCATTCGACGTATTTGAACAAATTATATAAATGTAATTTTGATAAACTTACGCTACGTTATTAAACTTCAAAACATCTTTCACATACGTCGATGAAGTGATGCTAAAAAAAAGTCTAAATGTGTTTCACGAAAATTCTAATAGCGTTCGTCTAACGTCCGCACTTAAAATGCTCAAAGGCGAAGCTTGAAAATATTGAGGGAACGGAGAGAAAACCGGGAAGTCTTATTGAAGAACTTAGCGTGAACACTCAGGTGGTGAGGAACGACGCTGTTCAGGGAGTATGACATGGTGCACCATCTGTCGGGTCACCGTACAGTGTGGTGCACCATCTGTCGGATCACCGTACAGTGTGGTGAACCATCTGTGGGGATACTGTGTAGTGGTAAACCTTCGGAGAGAGAGATGGTAATTCCTTGATTCATTAGACGAGGTCACTAACCCAGTGTGAAGTCATGTTCATATATATCACCCACTCAGATACTAACCAGACTCATCAATACTGAACCTTGCACAAACAACAGAGTGACGGGAGGATCCACAACACTGACCCAACGTGAGTTTGTATACTTGTAAACAAAATTTCATTAATAGCTGATTAAAATTTGTATTACTCTTAGTAAACTTCCAATTTCGAATTATATTGTGAATGTAGGGACGCCCGTCGCCTAATATTAATAACTTTTTTTTTAATTTTGTAAATGAAGTAAATTTTGGTGCAACTTCTGCAAGCTACAGCAACAAAAATATACATTTGCTAAAAATTGTTCAGGCACTATGTGTCGAAAACAACTATTCTTGTAGCTACTCAAAAAAGCGTCATTCATTAAAGGTAGTTGAACTTGTACACGCAAACCTTTCCTGAAACAAGAACATCAGCGTTGCTGACGATGGAAGAGCAGGCTAAAACACTCTGGAAAAACACACGCTGCAGAGCACGACCATCAACACTGGAAGAACCTGACAGTTGATGGATTCAGAAAATAACCTAAAAGGTCATTCAGCGTTTTTGACATTTAGAAAGGTTAATATATCCATACACATTAATACTTGCAAGCCAAAACAGTTTTACACATATATAAAAACTATTCATAGTAACAGGCACACAACTAATTCTATCACACCAAAATGTAAGTGAGGAAAAATATTTTGAGTGACCCTCTGGAAACTACTGTTTTCAGTGCTTATTGTTTGTCATATCAAGGCGTTATTCAGCCTTCAGCACGGTTTACAAACTTAACAATGGTCACTGGTCCAGAACTGACTGAAACATCACCCAATTTTTATTTCCATTTTTTGGTTTAGTTGTGAACTATTCCAGTCACGGCGTTGTGACTTATTCTTAATTCACTGGTTAATATATAATCTAGTTCCCCCCATCCCTCTAAGCTCCTTTATGTTCTTTTAACTCTTTGTAAAACACATTATTTTCCCTCTTACTCTCGACCAACCCTTCATTACTCCCTCTTCTACCCTGTCGTCTCATCTCCCACCTTTGTCAACTGCCGTAGAGGTCGCGAAAAAAGAAATTTTACAACCAACTTTGGAAAGGTTGACACGAAAGCCACGACACTTCAAGTCAATTGTTCGTTAAAGTGTGAAGTTGAATGTCAGTTGCAAGTGTGAAGTTGAACTATCGTTCCGAAGGAGATAACATCTTTTTCTTATTTAACTTGTCCGTTAAGAGCTGTCCTTCTGAGAGGTCGTGACGCCCATGGTCTGAGGGACACACAAAATCTATGAAAGGGAGGTGCACAAGGTCTGTGAGAGAGGGGCAGGTCTTTGATGGAGAGAGAGAGAGAGGCAAGTCTGTGAGGGGAAGAGAGGGGTAAGTCTATGAGGGAGAGAGAGGCAGGTTTGTGAGGGGGAGAGAAGGGCAGGTCTGTGAGGAGGAGAGGGTGCCTATGAGAGCCTCTTCAACCATCTGGTGTTCTAGGGGACGCGGGTATTTTTTTCCATACTTTATCTAACCTGGATATAGTATAGCTGTGAGAGGCAGTGAAAGGGGCTCTGCCCTCCCCTACATAACCTTAATATCCTTACACATTACAACTATTCAAAGAGCTCTGTCCCAGCAATGGCAGCGTGAGCTGGAAATATTTTCAGTGACTTTTTCTCTGGTCTAGACAACTACCACATATTTAGGAAGCAGGAAATGGTATTGTTTATACATATAACTGTTTCTTTTACAAGCCAGTGAGATATCTCAACACGTCAGTTCGAAAATAGACCATTTGGCAGGGCTTGTAGTTGGTCCACACCCGTTCGGGTTAGTGTGTAATGGTCTTCAGGTCAATGTTATTACGTGTGAAGTCACCTGTTGGAAACACCTGGCGACCTTCACCTCTCATTTGATATTGGACTCGAGGCCTAGAGCTATTAACACCAAAGCTACGCTCTTCTGTGTCATGTTATACTAATATTCCAACACAAACATCAGTCAACTGGTGTTGTAGAGTGATGAATATTATTCAGAACGGTATTGGAAAAATATATTTGAAGAGCGAGAGACGGATTTAAAAATGTTACCCTATATAGTCTCTGTTGAGGTCCACTTTTAGTTCCTGGCGTCCTCTCAACTTTCATTCAGCTATCATAGATACCTCAGTTCATTATTACCATGCTAGTTAACCGAAATCGGAGGGTCCAAAAACTACAGTTCAACCCCTGTAAACACACAGGTAATCACAAATACACCATTCCTAGCTCAGGTATACTCTCATCCAGACACACTTCTCTCCTTCCCATTCATCCTCCCCCCGCACACACACGACCCATCCCTCATTCACGCATCTATCTCTCCAACATTCACTCGCATTCATCCACACTCACTCAAAATACAACGCTATCCTCACGAACATTTACCAGTATTCTTGCACTACCCCACCTCACTACCACCTCCCTTTTAACACCCTAATTCCCCTAACTAGAAAACTCCTAGCAACATCACCCACACACAATTTTCCCAACAGCAACCACACACACACACACACACACACACACACACACACACTCCCAAACCCCCTCATCTCAAAACATACCATCATCCACACCAACACTGACGCACAAGTGGCCAAAAAAAACAACGAAGGTTCTTCTGCAAATTCGGTAAAAAAAATAATAACCAAGCTCATAAAACTTAATAAACAAGAGAGAAATTTACTGTCGCGGCCTGAAAAAGAAACCGGACTTAATATTCCTGTCAGAGGCGACGCGCCTTAAGACTGACTCAACAATAAGTGATGTGCTAGTCATATAATTCCTTTATGTATATATATATATATATATATATATATATATATATATATATATATATATATATATATATATATATATATATATATATATATATATATATATATATATATATATATATATATATATATTTATATATTTATATATAATCTTTCTGGTGCTCCTATAAACGTTGGCATCACATTAGCTCAAGATTTCCATAATACTTGAGAGATCTGTATCATTAAAATATAATTAAGGCGCCAATAAATGCTTCGACATTAATTAAATTCTATTAGACGAAGAACTTCAATATTCATATTAATTTGGGAAGATCAGTGACTCGCTGCGTAATCCTTCATTTGGTGTATCCGGTTGTTGTGTCTCAGAGCTGTTTAAGTGAGAGTGTGGCACTAGTCTGCTGCTTGATGCTACACTTACTTACTGATTATAATTATCTGTTATTAGTAGTAACCGTCCTTTTACTGATGACAGTAAAAACACATACACCATCCCCACATATATACACCCTCATCCACACACATATACCTCCCCCACACACACACATACACCCTCCCCACATATATACACCCTCATCCACACACATATACCTCCCCCACACACACATACACCCTCCCCACATATATACACCCTCATCCACACACATATACCTCCCCCACACACACATACACCCTCCCCACATATATACACCCTCATCCACACACATATACCTCCCCAACACACACATACACCCTCCCCACATATATACACCCTCATCCACACACATATACCTCCCCCCCACACACACATACACCCTCCCCACATATATGCACCCTCATCCACACACA